GAGCTGAGGGGCAGCGCCCAGGCCCAGAGCTCAGGCCCCACGACCAACACTGAAGAGCTGAGGGGCAGCGCCCAGGCCCAGAGCTCAGGCCCCACAACCAACAAAAAATTAAATTTTTAAAAAATGCCCTGGATTTGTAAAGAAATCACAAAAGAAAATAAATGGAAGGCTGATAAGCCCAGGAGAAGATGCCCATCTCCATGGGAGGGAGCTGCAGATGCTCTACCCAGCAGCGGCAACCTGTGAGGAGATGGATCAATGACTGATTCCATGTATTTCTGAATCGTATGTTGTTTTCAAAACAAAGTGCAATCTGTAAAACTTCCATCTATGGCTGTTGTAGGGGGGGCGGGCAGGGAGGTTTATCGATACCGGGGCTTGAACTCAGGGCCTCCTGCTCTTGTTTAGCCTTTTTCTGGTTAAGTGGAGATGAGTCTCACAGATTGTTCTCTAGGCTGCCTTCAAATCGCCATCCTCAGAGCTCAGTCTCCTGAGTAGTGAGGATGACAGGAGTGAGCACTGGCACCCACCTTTGCTTTATTTTAGGACCTGAATGCAGGCCTTCCGCTTTTCACCTCGTACCCATGGCATGACTGACATTTGAGCCACCTTCCAGCTCTGGCTCTCCACCTTCTGAAACACAGAGGGTTGAAGCTCGACACTGGGGCTTCAGCTCGGGGTGTCTTGCCCTCCCTTGAATTCTTCTTTTTTTGGTCAGTCGTGGGACCTGAACTCTGCCTGTCCCTCAGCTCAAGGCTAGCGCTCTACCACTTGAGCCACAGCGCCACTTCCGCCTTTTTCTGCCTATGGTGCTGGGGAATTGAACCTCAAGCATTCGAGGCACGCGCTCTACTGAGCCACCTTCCCATCCCCCTCCCTTGGCCTTTTCACTCAGGATTGGCACTCTACCACTTGAGCCACACCTCTGCTTCCAGCTTGTTGGTGGTTAACTGGAAATAAGAGTCACATGAACTTTCCTAAGCTGCCTTCAGAGGCTACGGAGTGGCTCCTGGTGACCTGCCTAGAATGCTCCAGGGCCTGTATTCCATCCCTTGTACCACAAAAAGCAGAAGTTCCATCTCTTAGAAGGAACACAGGTAAAAAGAACCTGGGTGGAATGAGTTAATTCGGTTTTTGGAAGAGCGGGGACACAGAAAGGACAGGACAAATGGTGAACAAATGTAGCAGTGATACTCACCAGTGTGACACTATGTTGAAAGGGAAGTATGCAACTTGTAGGTAGGATAGGAGAGGAAAGGAGGAGCATGGTTCAAAAGAAATATACGCTTTAACTCTAACCCTTCTGTGCGTCAACTAGATGAAACCTGCCAGGCACCAGTGGCCCACGCCTCTAATCCTAGCTCTTCAGGAGTGTGAGATCTGAGGATGGTGGTTTGAACCAGCCCGGGCTTCACAAAGTCCCCATGAGACTCTTATCTCCAATTAACCACTCAAAAAACAGAAGTGGCACTGTGGCTCAATGTGGCAGACTGCTACTTTGAGAAAAAGAGCTCTGAGACAGCACTCAGACCCCAAGTTCAAGCCCCATGACCAACAATAAAAGAGGAGGAGGAGCTGGGAAGGTGGCTCAGCGGTAGAGCGCATGCCTTGCATACAAGAGGCCCTGGGATCCATTCCTCAGCACCACATAAGCAGAAAAAGCCAGAAGTGGTTCTGTGGCTCAAGTGGTAGAGTGCTAGCCTTGAACTGAAGAGCTGATGGACAGCACCCAGGCCGTGTTCAGGCCCCATGACCAAAAAATAAAATAAAATAAAGTGAAACAAAAGTTTTGATACAGGAGTATGCAGGAGGCTGCAAGGACACACCACCAAACTAGAAGTAAATAGGGGAAATATTACAGAATCTCAAATTCCCAAAGAATACAACACAATAAATAGACAAAAGAATCATCAGTCATTAGGAAAATCCAACATAATAAGCTATGACCACATACTCAATACCATGGTGTCAAGTTAGACAGACAAAGACAGGAACACTAGGCACAGACGGCTCTGGAGAAAAGAGACAGGAACAGTGGAAACTGACCACAGCCCCACTGGACAGCCGGGAAGACAGAGACACTAGAGACAGATCATACTCCATAATGCAGACATGGAGACACTGACACAGAGACACTAGAGACAGATCATACTCCATAATGCAGACATGGAGACACTGACATAGAGATACTGGAGAGGGATCATATTCCATAATGCAGACATGGAGACACTGACACAGAGACACTGGAGACAGATCATACTCCATAATGCAGACATGGAGACACTGACACAGAGACACTGGAGACAGATCATACTCCACAATGCAGACGTGGAGACACTGACACAGAGATACTGGAGACAGATCATACTCCACAATGCAGACATGGAGACACTGACACAGAGACACTGGAGACAGATCATATTCCATAATGCGGACATGGAGACACTGACACAGAGATACTGGAGACAGATCATATTCCATAATGCAGACGTGGAGACACTGACACAGAGATACTGGAGAGGGATTACACCACATCCCTCAGATACAGAGACAGTTGAGAAAAAGCACTTCACACAAGGGAGACAGGTCCAGAACCTTCTGAATGATGGGCCACACTGGAAAACTGTCTGGCCATTGTTAATAACTCGGGACCCAGGTATCTGCGCTACTCTGGACCGGCAATCACGTACTTCAAATGGCAGATGTCCCTCACAAAGGAGCCTCTGCAGTGAAGGAAGTACCCACACAACCCCGAAGGCCACACTGGCAGGCCAAGCGAAAGCAGCCTGGGGGCCTTGGCTAGATGCGCTGGGACCCCAGCTTCTGGCGCGTGGCAGCAGGCCGGAGCCGCCTGAGGCAAGCAGGCCTTTACCATGGTGACAGGTACAGACTGACTCAGGTCAAAAGTTGCCAAGCTGCACACACTGAACACACACAGCCTGTGTGTCGTGAGCACTTTAACACAGCCCTAAGAGAGCCGTGCTGCTTCTCCTGCCATCTCTCCAAGGGATCTTTTTAGTTTTGATTCTGGTCAAACACCCAGTTTCCCAAAGAGCCTCTTCTCTATCCAGTCTCCAAGGCCCCAGGCACAGCACAGGGAGGCAGACTTCGAAGCCTGCTCTGGCACCCATCAGGCATCTTCTCCTCCCTTGTGCCTCTCCTCCGGCCACCCTTCACAGTCACAACACCCTGAGGGCACCCTTGCTCCGTGGGCCATTCTCTAGGCCCTCCTCAGCCCCCATTTCTAGCCATCTGAACACAGCCCTGACCCACCACACAGCATCAGGACCTTTGGACAGTCCAAAGATAACCCAGTTCAGGAGCAAAGCCCTGGCCAGGTACCCTGTGGTGCAGGAGTGGAGCACCTCGTCTCTCACATACCCTGGGAATTTCAAAAATGTAAAAGGCAGGGCTGGGAAGGAGGCTCAGTGGTAGAGCGCTGGCCTTGCATGCAAGAGGCCCTGGGTTCGATTCCTCAGCACCACATAAGCAAAAAGAAAAAAGCCGCAAGTGGCGCTGTGGCTCAAGTGGTAGAGCGCTAGCCTTGAGCTGAAGAGCTGAGGGACAGCGCCCAGGCCCAGAGTTCAGGCCCCACAACCGGATCCAAAAAAAAAAAAAAAAAATTCTGGTAAGGCTGGGAAGGTGGCTCAGTGGTAGAGCACTTGCCTTGCATGCATGAGGCCCTGGGTTTGATTCCTCAGCACCACATAAGCAGAAAAAGCCAAAAGTGGTGCTACAGCTCAAGTGGTAGAGTGCTAGCCTTGAGCTGAAGAGCTGAGGGACAGCGCCCAGGCCCAGAGTTCAAGCCAACAAATAAAGAAATAAATAAAGCGGTCAATACCTTAATAGCAATAAACATAATTTTAAAAAACAGCCAAATTCCTCTCAGGGGACAGGCCAATCATTACTTTTGTTTTTTTAATCTGCCAAAGTTACTTATGAAAAAATATTGTGTTTGCATGGTCTGCGCCATGGGGCTGTTAAGGAATCTATCCTGAGGATATAAAATAGTAATTTAAAAAAATACAGCAGGCATGTGTCTTCTAATTCAAGGTATATAAATCACTTTATAGTCACAACCTGTACGTACATTAGCATTGCAATAGGTTAACAAAGGCAAGTGAAGTAATTTTCCCAGTACTTAGGTCATATAAGTAGAAATGATTTGATTTGATTTCTGCAAACTGTAGTTTGGATGTTAAATATTTATTATGTGCCCTGATTTCCCGAGTATCCTTTTCTTGCACATCAGATAAGTAACCTAGAGATGGCTTCAGCTTCGAAACATGTTTTATTGAAACAGAAAACAGTCACTTCTAATCTCAGGTTTCATTTATGGGAGAATATACTTGTGACAAACGGGGGAAAGCTGTCATGGAGAAGGACACACATAGCTTTGCTTGTGGCGATTTCCTGGAGAACCTGAGTCCTCAGCCAAACAGCACAGCGAACAGAACATGCCCAAGAAAGCCGACTGGAAATTGGCTTTTTCATTCAAGGCTGGTGCTCTACCACTTGAGCCACAGCACCAATCCTAGCTCTTTTTTTTTAAAGTGGAAATAATCGGAAATACGAGTCTCATGGACTTTCCTGGTCAGGCTGGCTTCAAACTGCAATTCTTAGGTCTTAGCCTCCTGAGTAGCCACCTGGACAAGTTCTAATTTTTTACACATAAATTATTTTCACTTAGTGGATATTCCAGAATGAGGAAAGAAAATAGTGGAAGCTGAATTCTGACATCTTTTCAAAGAGAACAGTATATTTGTATGATACATGTTAAAACTTACCTTATAACTAGGAAACAGTTAGATATGCTGCCCACGGCAAAATAGTCAGCTGTAGTCAAAATATCAATTCCATGAGGGAAAGTGCCCTAATTTAAACAAAAAGTAATTGGAGAAAAAAAAACAAAAAGTAAGAAATGGCTGGAATGAAGAAAGGTACCTCAAGTCACGAGCCACACGAACACATCTATACTTGGAAGCAAGGACTGGCGGGTACCACGCAGGCCACAGGCCACAGGAGTATGTCAGTACTCTTCCTGCCCACTTGAGCCAAAATGATCCAAATCCCTAAAACAACTCATTTTTGAAACTCAAATGTTTCCATTTCAAAGTCCTATCTTTTTTTTTGGGGGGGGGGTCGGTCGTGGGGCTTGAACTCTGGGCCTGGGCGCGGGCCTCGGCTCTTCTTCCAAGGCAGGGGCCCCGCTGCCTCGCCCACACAGGGGCAGCAGGAGGCTAGGTGTGGACAGTGGACAGAATGCAGTCAGTTTTGGTGGCAGGACCCATCTGTCTAGAGGGGCAGGCCTGGAGGGAGGAAGAGTACTCAGCTCACTTTGTACTTCTGAGCTTCCCAACACGCTCACCACATGTATGTGTCTTCCCATGGCAAATCCGAGTCCCAAATCCCAAACATGTCGTCTCAGCCTTCCTCGCGCGCCACCTCAGCCCTCCACAGAACTGCCTCATTCCTAAGGCTCCGCTCCTTTCCCCTTCTCGCCTGCAATGGCACCTCGCTATCCCAAACCCCAGAGCTGGGTCCCCAGCCGCGTTCTCAAATGTGTGTGCATAGGGATCCTTCCTCCTGCCCAGGTCTGGCCCCGATCCAGACCGCTCTCCAGCCTCAGCCCATCCTCCTGACTGCCTGACCATGTCCTCTGTGTGCCTGGACTCTGGACCCCACTCTTGAGGCAAGGCTGACCTGTGATCGCCATCAGGGGGGGCAGGACACGTGCCAGCACCCTCAAGCACAACTCTCACACGGCTGAGCATCAGGGGGAGTCATGGGCTGGAGGTTTCCAGAAAACAGGACTACAACTAACACCAAGGGAGCTGGCTTCTGCCTCACCAGGGGGCTGGCTTCTGCCGGTGCAGCACACCCCGCTAACCGCCCTTAGCGCTGTGTGAGGGCAGGCCTGACCACAGAAAACACGTCTTACACACAGTCTCATATCAGTATACAGGTTTCGGTACCTCCAAGTCCATGAGGTAGTCTGGGACCAGAAATACACTTGCCTGCTGTGAGCTGCATTCTTTACCCACATCCAACAATGCAAGAGAAGTCACAGCTTTCAAGATTCCCACCTTCAAACCTACAGGAAGTTTCGGGGAATGAAAGATTTATAAAGTGGCCTTACCTGTCTCCCCACATTCTCCTGGAAGGCAGCCTGAGGAACAGAAAGAACAAACAAAGCAGGTGAGTGAGGTTTGCTTCTGCTAAACATCAGCAGATAAATTCAAAACAAACAGTGCAGTATAAATGACCCATGGCTTTATTTTTTAAATAAAAGTCTTCATTGTTGGCTGAACATGCCCCAAGGGTGGTTTGTCACTGTTTTTACGTCCTGGTGCTCTCTAGAACCACAATTGAAGAATTCAATTTATAAAATCAGACACATCCTGAAAGTAGCCTATCATTGGGGAACAGCTTCAGACCAGAGCCCCTGTGAAGGCCCCAGAAATACAAAACAGAGAATGCCAGTAGGTCACTAAGTAAAAGCCAACACCTGAAACTCCTCCTTGTGGACTCTGACAGCTCTCAGTTGCCCTCAACAGCTTGGGGCGGAGGAGGAGGAGGAGGAAAGCCCTTGCTTGTCCAAACCTCGCAGCCCCAGTCAGCTCTGAACAGGATGCCAGGCACAGAGCAGAGGCTGACAACAAGATCCCCATCCGAGCTTAAACAAAATTAGGTGAGCCCTGCAAGATACCGCACCATTCCTCAGCGGCCTTCCTCCTGCCCCCACCCTGAACTGTGCGAGACTGCCACCAGGCAAGGCAGGCTGTCTAGTGAGGTGACTCTACCAGCAGGCCCCGGCCTCTCCCCAAAGCACCTACGGATGATTTCTCCAACTATGGCTACAAGTAGGCACCAGCTCACCTACGGCTAGAGCAGAGTGCAACTTGGCCATGCAGCAGAGGCAGGCTGCCAGGGGGCATAGAGGAGGGTCTGGAGCACAGGCCAAAGGCCGGCGTTAGAACCCCTCCTGGCCTGGGCCTACGCTCTAACAGGCCAGGTGCTTCTGGAAAATACAGCAGATGCACCGAAAGAAAATGTACTACCAGGTTCAGGCCCCGGTGTCTATGCACCAACCTCAGCAGACAAAAGAGCACTGAGAGCCAGCAGCTTTCTCCCTGGAAGGTGGCCCACGCAACCTTTACATTGAGGAAACACTTTTTGCAGCCTTTTCTTTCTTTTTTGTTTTTTTGCAATGAACTAATTAAGGAAAAAATGCAAAGGATATACAATTGTCAATTAAAATACAATGTAATATTTAGGAATATATTTACTGCTCTGGAGATATCATCAAAACCATACTCTAATGCCACCCTGAAAGCATAAAACGTGAATCTTGGAGAAGGGGGTTGGAGCGGCCCAGCATGAGGCTGACCACACCCAGAGCAGTCCTGACACAAGCAGAAAATAGCTGCAAATGGTCAGGATGGAGAGTCAGGCTGGTTCCTGGCCTCAACACTGAAACCCCTTCTCACAGACAGGAGGGCAAAGAGACAGTGGAGCTACAGAGCTTCTGGAAGGGTGAAGAGGTGGGCAGGAATATTTGCAAGCCACATATCTGATCAAGGGTGACTACTCTCAAACTCAGTTTAATCCAGGCACTGGTGGCTTGCACCTGTAAGCCTAGCTACTTAGGAGGCTGAGATTTGAGGATCAAGTTTAGAAGTCAGCCCAGGAAGACAAACCCAAGAGCACCTTATCTCCAATTCACCAGCAAAAAGTCCGAAAGAGGGCTGGGAAGGTGGCTCAGCAGTAGAGCGCTTGCCTGCATGCATGAGGCACTGGGTTCGATTCCTCAGCACCACATAAGCAAAAAGAAAAAAGCCGGAAGTGGCGCTGTGGCTCAAGTGGTAGAGCGCTAGCCTTGAGCTGAAGAGCTGAGGGACAGCGCCCAGGCCCAGAGTTCAGGCCCCACGACTGACAAAAAGAAAAAAAAGTCCGAAAGAGAGGTTGTAACTCAATGGTACAACCCAGTCTTGAGCAGAATAAGCCAAGAAAGAGCAAGATGCCCTAAGTTGTAGTCCCAAAACCAGAACACAAAACAAAAACAGACAGTTAAGGCTCAAGGTAAAGTAACCATCAGCAAAATGGAAAGCCCACACACTCTGCAGCCAATGGCAGGTCCAGGAGGACAGGGGCATCAGGACCACACACACACACACACACACACACACACACACACACACACGTGTCACAGGATGGGGACCCCGTGAGGACAGGGGCATCGGGACCTCACACACACACACACACACGTGTCACAGGACGGGGACCCCGTGAGGACAGGGGTATCGGGACCACACACACACACACACACACACACACGTGTCACAGGATGGGGACCCCATGAGGACAGGGGCATCGGGACCACACACACACACACACACGTCACAGGACGGGGACCTCGTGAGGACAGGGGCATCAGGACCACACACACACACACACACACACGTGTCACAGGACGGGGACCCCGTGAGGACAGGGGTATCGGGACCACACACACACACACACACACACACGTGTCACAGGACGGGGACCCCGTGAGGACAGGGTATCAGGAGCACACACACACACACACACACACACATATGTCACAGGACGGGGACCCCATGAGGACAGGGGCATTGGGACCACACACACACACACACACACAGTGTCACAGGATGGGGACCCCGTGAGGACAGGGGCATCGGGACCTCACACACACACACACACACACACACACTCGTGTCACAGGACGGGGACCCCGTGAGGACAGGGGCATCGGGACCTCACACACACACACACACACACACACGTGTCACAGGACGGGGACCTCGTGAGGACAGGGGTATCAGGACCACACACACACACACACACACACGTGTCACAGGACGGGGACCTCGTGAGGACAGGGGCATCAGGACCACACACACACACATACACACACACACACACACACACACGTGTCACAGGATGGGGACCCCATGAGGACAGCGGCATCAGGACCACACACACACACACACACGTGTCACAGGACGGGGACCCCGTGAGGACAGGGGTATCGGGACCACACACACACACACACACACACACACACACATGTGTCACAGGACGGGGACCCCGTGAGGACAGGGCATCAGGAGCACACACACACACACACACACGTGTCACAGGATGGGGACCCCGTGAGGACAGGGGCATCGGGACCACACACACACACACACACACACACGTGTCACAGGACGGGGACCCCGTGAGGACAGGGGCATCGGGACC